CAATGTTGGCTAAACTGATCTCCCGAATTTTGATTTTGATGATATCTGCTGTTATCAAAATCGGGAAATCTGTACCAGCTGCCCCACTCGAGCTGCTCGCCTGCTCGACGTCGACTCTTCGACCTTCGTCACTTCGACAGTAAAGGTGGTAGTTATGTCTTGTGCGTGTTGTGTGTATTTTGTACTACACTTGTAGCCCGTTTTTTGTAGACTTAATTAGTATAATACTATAATTACTAATTTCTGAACATGTGTTATTTCATGACGTTCACTGTGTTTTTTTTTACCAGTTTAAATAATAATGTTCATCGTATTTTCAATATGATAGTATTATAATATGAGTTTAAAGTTTTAATAACTAAGTTGACAATTTAATAGCTCCGTGGTACAATTTGTCGTGTAACAGTTTTCAACCATCATCAATTATGGTAAATTTTATTCATTAATCACTGACTTATCGCCATGCAGTTCTGAATCCGTGCTTACGTAAATCCAGTGAGTCTGGCAATTATTTCTTTTTGTGTTCGAACTATGCTGTTTTCTCCAACTTTTTTTTAAAAAAAACGACATCACGATGTTGTGTTTAATGTAATGAGTAATGACACACGAGTTGTTTTGTTTTTGTTTTGTTTTTCGCCTGATTAGGACACGTCGTAAAGGTTTCACATTATATGGACTGCGTTTTATTGTAATTTTATTTTTTTACTAGTATTACACTTGTCAATTTCTCGATTCAACTGGATGAAATTGACCTGTTATGGATTTACTTACGTAGAAGTCCGACTATAGTGTGGTATTTGGATATCCATTTTGATCGTGTTGTGGGTCTCTCGGTATTGCTTTTCTCGTCTACAATGATGCGTTGCAGGTAAGCAGTTATAACCTATTTTACCTATTAAATAGATTGTTGTCTATTGAGTCTAACAAATTAATTAATTTAAAAAATTAAAACTACCTACCAATTTTATTATAATCTTGAGTGAGCTCTATTATTATCAAGATTATTTATTATTTTTTAAAACAAGGTACCTAGTTGTAGTTACTTATAATATAATACCCATGTATTTTATTTTTTGGAACAAAATTACGTAATTGTGTAATTTAAATTTTTTAATGATTGTTTTACTCATATGGTTTTAT